ACAATATTAATACATAAAAAAATAGGAAGTGTTGGTGTAATTTTTTGTCCTTTTATCTCAAATTCTTTATAATCTGAAAGGTTAAGTTGAAAGTTATATTCTGAAAAAAAAAAAAAAGACAAAATATACAGAGATCCATTTTTATTTCAGGCTGTTGAAGTATAAGAAAACCAGGTTATAAAAATATGCACAAGAACAGCGAAGTGTCCCAAAACTCTGGAGCATGCTGAGATCCCATATTTCACAAAGGGACTCCTGATATGAGAACAATGTACATGAACTGGAAGAAGACTGCTAATAACTTTATTGAGTTGAGAAAAAATGGATATCTTAAGTTCTAGCACACAAAAGAGTAACATGTAAAATAACTTGAAAAGCAACCTGGAACTTGGACATGCTTAAACGGCATGATTTGATTAATAAACATCTCTACTGTATAGATTATTTCCTAATTGGAATTCAAAGAATACCAACAAATTTAAGAATATCAGAAAGAATGAAGAGATATCACTTAGGATTGGTTCCAAATGTCTAGTTAATAAAGTATCCTTTACCTGCAACACTCTACTGTTCTCTCACTTAGCATCCACTGCTCAATGGAAAACAACAGAAGGTTGTGGATAAAGGATACTGTATTAATAAGACATCTGAAACCAAGCCTAAGTGATACCTCTTCATTGTATCCAATATATATGCGTTTCATTCATTAAACTACTAACAAACGGTAAAAAGCATCATCCTAGCTCCAGGCAAAAGAACAACTAAGATATTAGTCCAATTTGCTGGAAATTCTATTGTTGTTTACATTCTGGTGGTTGTTCTTGACGCCTCTTTGATGCTCTGTCAGTCTGGAGAAAAGAAATGTACAACTTAATTAATGCAATGTTATCTTAGGACATGACAAGTTGCTTACCTTATACATAACTGCAAAACACAAAATGTGAAACCGCACATTTGCAAGTATTTGTATGGATCCAACAAACCATGCCATCAACAGGGGGTGAGGTAGTGGTAAAAAAAATGTTCATAAAAACTGGAAAGCTGTAAATTTGTATGCACCCCTGCATTGACTTAATGAACTTCGATACTAATTTTGGTGAAGATCCATCCAAATCCTGCAAAGTAGTTACAGGGACACACAACACACAGTTTTATTATACTTATATAGAAGTAGTTACGGGGACATATAACAGACAGTTCTATTATACTTACACGGAAGTAGTTACAGGGACATATAACAGACAGTTTTATTATGCTTATATAGAAGTAGTTACGTGGATATACAACAGACAGTTCTATTATACTTGTATAGAAGTTACAGGGACATATAACAGACAGTTCTATTATACTTATATAGAAGTAGTTACAGAGACATATAACAGACAGTTCTATTATACTTACATGGAAGTAGTTACAGGGACATATAACAGACAGTTCTATTATACTTACATGGAAGTAGTTACAGGGA